AGGCTCTAGGCGCACGGGCCTCAGTAGCTGTGGCACGTGGGCTCAGTAGTTGTGGCTCATGGGCTCTAGAGCGCAGGCTCAGTAGTTGTGGCGCACAGGCTTAGTTGCTCCGCGGCATGTGGGATCTTCCTGGACCAAGGCTCGAATCAGTGTCCCCTGCACTGGCAGGTGGATTCTTAACCGCTGCGCCACCAGGGAAGCTCTATATATATATTTTTTCAGATTATGAGATCAATTAGGAGTGTGGGATTCACAGGTACAAACGACTTAAATAAAATAGATAAGCAACAAAGATGTACTCTATAACACAGGGAACTATACTCGTTATCTTATAATAACACAATGGAAAATAATCTGAGATTGATTTTTATATATTTATCTTGTATACAGCCAAATTCTCTTATTAGTCCTGGATGGGGTTGTTTTCGTTTGTTTTTGTTTTTAACTAGATCCTCTTAGGGGTTTTAGATATACAATATCATCTGCAGATATAGGGAGTCGTGTCTTTTTCCCGCTGGCATTTATACTTTAATTTGACTTTTTACTGAAACAATTTCAAATTTATAAAAAGTTGCAAAAATAAAAATAGTACAAGGGGGCTTCCCTGGTGGCACAGCGGTTGAGAGTCCGCCCGCCGATGCGGGGGACTCGGGTTCGTGCCCCGGTCCGGGAAGATCCCACATGCCGCGGAGTGGCTGGGCCCGTGAGCCATGGACACTGAGCCTGTGCGTCCGGAGCCTGTGCTCCGCAACGGGAGAGGCCACAACAGTGAGAGGCCCGCGTACCGCAAAAAAAAAAAAAATAGTACAAGGAATATCCATCTACTCATTTGTTCTATCACTGCTCTGAGTGTATATGCGTGTGTGTGTGTGTGTGTGTGTGTGTGCTTAATTTTTTTTTTTTTTTAGATATTTTGAGAGTAAGTTATGCCCAAAACTCTAGTGTGTATTTCCGAAGAATAAGGATATTCTCTTACACAACCACAGTAGTTATCAACTTTAGAAATTCACATTGATACTTTAATCTACAATCTATATTCCAATTTATAAGCTGACCTAATAAAGTCTTTTATAGCATTTTTCTCCCTCCAGTATAGGATCCAGTCTAGGGCCTGGTATCACATTTAATCATCATGTCTGTTTAGCCTCCTATAACCTGGAATATTTCCACAGCCTTTCTTTTTTTTTTTTTTGATAACTTTATTTATTTTATAAAATGGGTCTTCATTGGGTCTTCGTTGTGGTGAGTGGGGGCTACTCTTTGTTGCAGTGCACGGGCTTCTCATTGCGGTGGCTCCTCTGGTTGTGGAGCACAGGCTCTAGGTGCACAGCCTCAGTAGCTGTGGTTCACGGGCTCTAGAGCGCAGGCTCAGTAGTTGTGGCGCATCGGCTCTAGAGCACAGGCTCAGTAGTTGTGGAGCACGGGCTTAGTTTCTCCTCAGCAAGTGGGATCTTCCCGGACCAGGGCTCGAACCCGAGTCCCCTGCATTGGCAGGCGGATTCTCAACCACTGCACCACCGGGGAAGCCCTCTACAGCCTTTCTTTAACATTTCTGAAGAATACGGTCTTCCCTCACTATCTTTTTTAAAAATAGAACATTCTCTATTTATGTTTATTGGTATACTTCTCAATTTCTTTTTTTGGTCTTATTGTATAAACCAAAAATTCCAAAACAACATTATGTAACAACAGTGATACAGGCATCTCTCTCTGTGCATTACTGATTTTATTGGAAATGAAAATAGGCTTAGCATTTTACCATTTAGAAGGATGTTGATGTTGGTTTTGGTAAATAGTCTAGTATTCAAGGAGTTACCTTCCATTCCTGTTTCACATAGAATTGCATTACAAACAGCTGCCGAATTATATCAAAAGCCTTTTGATTTCTATTTGCATAATCCTGTGGGGTTTTTCTTTTAGGTTCACAAACTCCCTATTATTATAAATGATGTTGTGAAATGTTGACTCCGTTTCAGAATTTCCCAGAGGTTGATTGATCTAAGCTTGTATGCTTGGAATAAACCCTATTCGGTCATACATGTTTATTTATTTAATACATTGTTTGATTTGACTGGCCAGTAGTTTATTTATAATTTCTGCATATATATTTATAAGAGAAATTAGTCTATAGTTTTTTGGGGGTACTATATTAGATTTGGGGTTTGGGAGTTTTCCATTTTATAGTTTTGTTTTCTTCTAATCTCTGTTTTCTCTTCATCTTATTACTTTGGTTAGTTCCTCCAGTACAATGCTGAATGGAATGCTGATAGCAGGCAGTGTTGTTTTGCTCCTAAATTTAAAGAGACTGTTTTATACTTTATACCATTGAGTATATTTTCTGTAGGTTTTCTGAGGCTACTTTTTGGGGTTAAAGAATTTCCCTTTTATTCTGTTTTCAAAGAATAGTTTTGTTCTTTGTTTTCAATCATAGTTTTTTTTTTAACTTTTTGTAAAACTTGTTGAGATAACATGTTTTTTAATCCTTTAATTCATTAATAAGATAAATTTATTAGTAGATTTTCTAATGTTAGACTAACCTTGAATCCCTGGAATAATCCCAACTTGGTCTTTTGTGTGTATGTGTTTATCTTCATTTTTTGTTTTTTAAATTTTTTCTTTTATTACTTGGTTTGTAACTTGTGGTCTTTTTCGGTACATTGCTGGATTTAGTTTGCTAATATTTGCTTAGTGTTTTTGCATCTATGTTCATGATTGAGATTGCCTATAAATTTCCCATTATTATCTTATTTTGTATCAAGATTATCCTCACCTCATAACATTAATTAAGACTGGAGTTTTTCTTCCAGTCTTTTGAAGAGCTTAAGTAGGTTTCAAATTATTTGTTCCTTGATTGTTAGAACTCACTAATTATCTGGGACTGGTGTTTTCTTCCTGGAAAGATTTTAAGTTATTTATCCAATATCTTGAAGATTATAGGACTATCCTGGCTTTCTATTTTGTTTTTAATTGGATTTGGTTTGATTTGTATTTTTCAAGAAATTTATTCATCTAAGTTCTGAAATATATTGCATAAAGTTATTCATAATTTTAAAATTATTTTAAATATTATTAGTATAGCTAGCTTTGACTTTTTTTATTCCAACAATTATTGACTCATGTCTTTTAGTCAGTGATGCCAGAGATTTGTCTATTTTATTAGTCTTTTCAAAGAACCAGTTTGGCTTTGTTGATCATCTCTATTATATATTTGTTTCTATTTTAACGATCTCTGCCCTTTTATTATTTCTTTTATTTTATTTGGAATCTTAATGCTGTTCTATTTTCTAACTTTACATGTTGCATGCATTTAAACTACCTCTACATTTTTTCTTTTCTAATATAAGCATTTAAAGCTTTAAATGCATCACATGTGTGTTGAAAAATAGTTTCTCATTATTGTTTAGTGCTAAATGTTTTCTAATCTGATTATAAGTTTTTCTATATTTATTTTTGGCTTCATTGGGTCTTTGTTGCTGTGCGCGGGCTTTCTCTAGTCGCGGCAAGCGGGAGCTACTCTTCTTTGTGGCACGTGGGCTTCTCACTGCAGTGGCTTCTCTTGTTGCGGAGCATGGGCTCTAGGCGCACAGGCTTCAGTAGTTGTGGTAAGCGGGCTCAGTAGTTGTGGCACGCGGGCTCAGTAGTTGTGGCGCACGGGCTTAGTTGCTCCATGGCATCTGGAATCTTCCCGGACCAGGGCTCAAAGCTGTGTCCCCTGCGTTGGCAGGCGAATTCTTAACCACTGCGCCACCAGGGAAGTCCCCTTCATCCCTTTTTAAAGCTGACGTATTCCACTGCCTGGATATCCCACCTTTTGTCTATCCATTTGTCAGTTTGTGGACATTTGGGTTATTTTCACTTTTTGCCTATTATGAATAATGCTGCTATGAGCCTTCATATGCAAGTTTTTATGTGGACATGTGTTTCTCTTTCTCTTGGGTGTACACCTGGGAGTGGAATTGCTGGGTCATATTGTAACTCTATATTTAACCTTTTGAGAAACCACCAGACTATTTTCCAAAGTGACCACACAATTTTACATTCACACCATCAGTGTCTGAACATTCCAGTTTCTCCACAACCTTAACACGTGTTATTATCTGTCTTTTTTAGTACGACCATATTAATGAGTGTGAAGTGCTGTCTCATTGTGTGGTTTTGCGTTTCTTTAGTGACTAATTAGTTGATCATTTATGTGCTTATTGGGCGCATGTATATCTTCTTTGGAGAAATGTTTATTTAGATCCTTTGCCATTTTTAAAATAAGGTATTTGTCTTTTTATTGTTGAGTTGTAAAATTTCTTTATATATTCCAGATGTTGGCCAGATGCTTTCTACATTGATAAGAATGAATACTTCACTTGATCTTAGCCAAAAGCAAAGTGATTGCCTGATTCGTTTTTTTCCTGAAGCCTGTGAGGACTACATGTGAATTGATCCCAGCCCCATGGCTAGGGAAAGATTGCCACTGGTAGATGGGGACATCTGGGAGCTGAGGAGAGAACTTTGCCAGTGTGTTCACCATTAGTCCACAGGGGCAGAAACAATGGTGCTGTCAGGAGACCTAAACAGCCATAACAGCTACTACATTTTATTGAGCTGTTATAAGGTCCCGGCACCAGCTAATGACTTTCCGTATATTTCCTCCCCACAGCAGCCTTACGAAATAGGTGTTAGTATTATTCCCATTTTAAAGATGAGGAAAGTAAGGCTCAGAGACATTAAGTAACTTCCACAAGGTCACACAGCTTCTAAGTGTCAGAGCTTCAATTCTAACCCTGGTCTTCCAACTCTGAAGACGGTACTCCTACCCACCCAGGTATACTGCCTCCCAAACAGAATTTAAGCTTTCCACTTACCAGTCTCTGAAGTTCATTTCCAGGAGTATCTGGGCACAAGATGGGAGAAAGGAGCTTGAGAATGGGTCAAGGAAGTCTGGGGAGGAGACAGGGACTTCACCTCTGGTCTCACTGACACTCTGGGGTGCTCTCCCCTCCTGCCAGTTTGCCCAGTATGCTGAGATCGTCAACTTCACCCTCCCCAATGGGACTCAGAGGAACGGGCAAGTGCTTGAGGTGGCTGGGACCAAGGCAATTGTTCAGGTAAGTGGTGTCAATAAGATGTTGGTGGTTGAATAAATGAATGAATCCACAAAGTTTCCACACTATCTTATAAACTCCAAAGGCAGAAAATGTTCTATTTCCCCTGAGAGAGCTTTGCCCGGAGCTGGACACAAAGGGAGCCTAGAATGGGAGGCCCCGTTCTCCCCAGCAAACCACTTATTAGACTAACTAACCTCTTACCCTGTAGGTGTTTGAAGGGACCTCTGGGATCGATGCCCAGAAGACCACCTGCGAATTCACAGGGGACATCCTACGGACTCCAGTGTCGGAGGACATGCTGGGTGAGGGGTAGGGATGGGCAGGGTGAGGGCGTCCCTCTGTCCCACCAGTCCAGCTTCCCTGACCAAGTGCTTACCTAGCAGACCGCACTGTCGTTGCCTCTTTACCTAGTCTGCCACCCCTGGGAGCCCTTTAAGGTCAGAGGTTGTGCCTTGTCTTTGACCCCCAACCCCAGCTCAGGGCCTGACATACAGCAGGTGCTCAATACATGAGGAAGGCAGCTTCAGTAAATTAGAGGCAGAGGAGGTAGCTGTCTATTTGGGGTCAAGCTGGAACGAACTGCACATCCCCTAATTTTCTCCCAAGATCTGCCATACCTGGCCCTCTCCTCTTTCCAGCCCTAAAACTCCCCATTAGAGTCATTGTTCTGGACCAAGGCCTTGCCTGTAAAGGTTTCCAGGAGAGGAGGAAAGACCCCCAAGGAGGCAGTCACTGTAGCCAGCTCCCTGGGGGTAACCAAGGGCTGAGGGGAGGGGGACATGGGGCAATTGGGACGCGAGGGCTGGGTGAGAGCTGGTGGTGTGGAGGGTGAGTGGTAGTGAGAGACCCAGGGCTGTTCCTGAGCACCACTCAACCCCTCTCACCCACTCCCAGGTCGGGTTTTCAATGGCTCTGGCAAACCCATTGACAAGGGGCCAGTGGTCATGGCAGAGGACTTCCTGGATATCAATGGTAAGTGGCCGGAGGCTCGGGACCCAGCCCCCAACTACCTTCCCCACCCCAGTCACTGCCTCTGTCACCTCGCCCTTGGAAATTCTGCCCCAGATAAAGGCCAGGGCCATTGCCCAGGGCTCACCCCCAGGACTGGTCATACTAACAGGCAGGTCAGGTGAGATACGAGAGCAGCAAAGGCCACCCTGTCTGGGGCCAGCTGCATTTCATGTCCCGTTCCTATAAAATGCTATCATCGTTGTGCAAAGTTCCCCAGGTGCCCAAGACCCTCACTCTCCTGCCTTCTGGCATCCACCTGCCTGCCACTCCTAATGTGCCTGGGTGGCACCGTCCAAGGGAACACTGGACTGTGGCTATTGAAATACAGACTAATTCAAATGAAATAAAAGTTCATTTCAAAGCCACATGGCGGGGCTTCCCTGGTGGCACAGTAGTTAAGAACCCGCCTGCCAATGCAGGGGACACGGGTTCGAGCCCTGGTCCGGAAAGATCCCACGTGCCGCGGAGCAACTAAGCCCATGTGCCACAACTGCTGAGCCTGCGCTCTAGAGCCCATGAGCCACAACTACTGAAGCCCGCGTGCCTAGAGCCCGTGCTCCGCGACAAGAGAAGCCACCGCAAGGAGAAGCCCGCTCACAGCAAGGAAGACCCAACACAGCCAAAAATAAAATAAATTAATTTTTTAAAAAACCCCTCATTTTGCATGCTCAATAGCCACACGTGGCCAGGGCTATGTTTTGGGCAGCGCAGTTACAGCACATTTCCATCATGGAAGAAAATTCTTTTAAACAGTGCTGCCCCGGAGTCTGGGACAGGGGTGGGGGAGGGCGGGCAAGGCCTGAACGCTTGAGCAGGGTCCATGGTCACCGTCTCCCAGGCCAGCCCATCAACCCCCACAACCGCATCTACCCGGAGGAGATGATTCAGACGGGCATCTCGCCCATTGACGTCATGAACAGCATTGCCCGTGGCCAGAAGATCCCCATCTTCTCAGCAGCTGGGCTCCCCCACAATGAGGTGAGGACTTCGAGGGGCCTGTGGGCACGACCAAGGGGAAGGGATGGAGCAGAGGCCGGGGCTGGTGGGCCAGCGAGGGGGGCCTCCTGTGCCGAGCAGGCTGGGGTCTCCGGCAGCTGTGTCCTGGCAGCTCAGGGACTCAGGGCCCCCAGACAGATCTCCAAGCCTGCATCCTGAGTGAGTGGGGCTCGCACTGCCTCATGAGAGAGCCCACGGGTAGCCTCAGTGTTGACTGTCCTGCACAGCTGAGCCCACGGCTCTACCACTGGTCCTTGCAACGGTCTTTACTTGCCTGCACTGAGCGAACCCCACCTCAGGCCAGCCCCACGGCCGTCTGAAGCCTCCCTGTGCAGGTTTCCTGCCCTACCCCCTCTACCCAGAGTGGACAGCCCATTTCTTCCCAGAGCAGCTGGTGTGACAAGGTTTCTAGATGATCCCCCCCCGACCACCCCCACTCCTCTACTCCTGGATGCGCCCCAGCTCACCCTCAAAATGCTCAGAGGGATTAGACGGCAGAAGTGTCCCTGCCTTCCCCCTACACACACGCTCATCCTGGATCTGGACATGACGACTGGAAACTCCACATGCTGCAGGCCTGGGGCAAACCCCAGAGATACCCCTAGCAGGCTGCGGGGCAGAGGGGACTCTGAAGGACCAAGTTGCCCCTAACCCGTGGTAGGCAGCTGCTCTCTGGAACTGTTTTTCCATGCTGCTCCTCATGACAGGCACCCTGGGTCCTCAGGTGCCACAGAATAAGGCAGCCCTCCCCTGAGAGCGGCTGTAGGACCCAGGGCAGCCCTTCTTCCTTGCTGACCTTGGGTCCCTCCCGCCGAAGGCCTTGGCGGCAGGATGGGCTGGGAGTTACCCTGTCCGTGCTCCTCAGTGGTGCTCAGAGGGCTGACTCGAGCTCTGGTTCTGCTGTCCTTCCTCCCATCCCCAGATCGCTGCCCAGATCTGCCGCCAGGCTGGGCTGGTGAAGAAATCCAAGGCCGTGCTGGACTACCATGATGACAACTTTGCCATCGTCTTTGCAGCCATGGGGGTAAGAGGGGCTGGGCCGAATGGCAAGTTCTGGAAGCTATGGGCAGGTAGGCTTGGCCCCTGGCACACCCAGTCTTATGGGGGAAGCATTATCCTTCTTCTTGAGAAGCCGTCAAAGTCGGAGTCTGTCTGGTGAGAGAGGCAAGAGCATGACTGGAGGAGCGGGCAGTGTGTGCCCCACAGAAGCCCAGAGGCCACAGCAGCTATAAGATGAGCCCAGGACAGCTGGGATCCCGGGGGCCCTTAGAGGGCCCAAGGCAGGGACAGGGAGTTTGGCAGGGAAGCAGCGGGTAGGGTAAGGGGCAGGGGTGGCACTGAGCAGAGCTGAGCCTGAAGTCTGAACCTCTCTCTGGGGCTCTGATGAGACCCTATCCCGGACTGGGCAGCAAACCCAGCCCCTGCCCTCTCAAGCCCCAGGTTCACCCCAGTGACCGTTAGCAGGTCAGTCAATAGGCATTACTGAGAAGAGAGGGAAGAGGCCTGGTCCCCGCCTCCAGCCCTCCCTGCTGTGTGTCCAGGTGAACATGGAGACAGCCAGGTTCTTCAAGTCCGACTTCGAGCAGAACGGTACCATGGGCAATGTCTGCCTCTTCCTGAACTTGGCCAACGACCCCACGTGAGCCGTCCCCTGGCACCCATACCGCCCTTAGGCAGCAGGCCCTGTCCCCTTCCAAGACCCAGAGTACCAAGTCTCAGGCATCCCAGAACTACAGCCATGGGCCAGAGCTGGGAGAACAACCCCTCATTGTGGAGATGGGGACACCAAGGCTGGGGAAGAGGTAGGGGCAGCACACGGAGAGACAGGGAGCTGGGCCACAGCCCGCCTGCCACCTGTCGCCCCTCCGCCCTGCCCACAACCTGCATCCAGCCACCATCCCAAGTCAGGACCCCTCATCCGAGGACCCCTCATCCGAGACTCACTTCCACAAAGTCACCACTAAAGAGATATTTTCCTAAACCATTCGCTTAGAAAAACTGCTATTTTAAAAGTTGAGAAAATGTGAGTTTAAATTTGTAGGTTAGGTGATGAAAAAAAAATCTAATAAACTGTCCTGGGAACTGAAGGTACTCAGAAGGAACTCAAACCAGGTAGCAGAGTTCAGGAGGCCCAGATGACGTCACCAGAGAAAAGCACCACAGGCACAGAGCCCGGGGACTGAGAGTGCCTGGACTGCCCCCAGTGGAAGGGGCTGCCAGGGCAGGCCAGCCTCTGACCCACGCCCAGCAAGGAATAGTGAGAGGAACAGTAAGGAAAGGACCCCGAGGACACAGAGTGTGTGAGTGCTCCAGATGACCCAAGCTCGGGTGCCCTGGGGGACGAGGGACACTGTCATCGTCATCAGTCACTCCTGGCCCTGCCTGTCCCTCTCTCACCCAGCTCCCTGCCTGTCCCCGCCTCTGTCCTCATTCCTACCTTGAATAGCAGGACGTGATTGAGGGCCCACTCCCAGGAACCATGGCCTGGATCTGGGGGCTGGGGCCTGGGGCTCATCTTACCCAGTCCTCTGCTGCTGTGCACTGTACCAGCTTCCCAGTTCACCACCCACTCAGCACTGGGGCTAAATGGAGCACAGGCCTGGGCCTCGTGGCTCTCTAAACATTGGCCGTACCTGCAGGATCGAGCGGATCATCACCCCGCGCCTGGCACTGACCACGGCTGAATTCCTTGCCTACCAGTGTGAGAAGCACGTGCTGGTCATACTGACGGACATGAGTTCCTACGCAGAGGCCTTGCGGGAGGTGAGGTGGCTGTAGTCACTGTGCCCAGAGCTGGCCCACGCAGGCCTGTCCCCACCCCTTTCCTCATGGTCACTGAGACCCCACTCCCCTTCCTTTGTGTCAGCCTCTTGCTCCCTTTCTTACCCCAAGGCCCACGAACATTGCAGGTCTCAGCTGCCAGAGAGGAGGTGCCCGGGCGCCGAGGCTTCCCCGGGTACATGTACACAGACCTGGCCACCATCTATGAGCGGGCAGGCCGTGTGGAGGGCCGGGGCGGGTCCATCACTCAGGTCCCCATCCTCACCATGCCCAATGACGGTGAGCCGCCTCCCTGCCTACTACCCTCTGCAACCCTCCTGCCCTCCCATCCTACCCAGACACCTAAAGGACCCATGCTTCGTTATATAGGTGTGCAGTAGCCCTGTTCCTCCATCAGGGTAGACACTGTCCCTTCCTTGCGTCCCCCGATCACCCACTCCCATGAGGGAATAGAACCTACATGGCCCTGAGTGGGTGGAGACCTGGATCTACACTGACACCAGTGCCTTTCCTTGCAGACATCACCCACCCGATTCCAGACCTGACGGGCTTCATCACAGAGGGACAGATCTACGTGGACAGACAGCTTCATAACAGACAGGTACTGTCCCCTCCTTACCCACTTCCTGCTCTCTCCACCATCTCCAAGTACGCTGACTAATAACCAATGTCCCACCACCCCCTGTACTTCATCTCCCTGTGAATGAGGAGGGGCCAGACAAGGCTAACCCCTAACAGGAGATAATCCCCATGAAGACTGTTTGGTTCCCAGACAGAAGACAAGTCTGGGTGGAATCCAGCCTACCTGGATGTGGGACCTTGAGAAAATCATTTCATCTCTCTGATCCTAGGTTTCCTCATCTATAAAATGGGAATGATAATATATGTCACACAGTTGCATTGTGGAGAATAAAATAAAATAAGTTGGCCCACAGAAAGCATCTAGCAGATCGTAGATACAAAATAAATATCACTTCTCTTTCCTTTCTAGTAATTTGCTTTGGTGAGCAAAAACAATAGGTAACTGACACAAGTAGGTGGTGAATAATGTACCAAAGGGTTAGAAAATGTGTCTGTCCCATCTTAGGCCACCCCCTTACTCTTTCCTCTTTGTTTGGCGGTTTTTCTTTGCAACTATGAACTATTAAGGTTCTACCTGGCTTTTGTCCAAATAGTCAGAAGTTTTGAAATAGCGAGACTTTCATGAATTAATGCCATGGCATCTTCCCCCTCCACTCTCCTGTCTAGGTGCGCACATGTAGACACCTTTATACCCAAGCCCTAGAATTTGTGGGCGATAGAGGGCGGGGTGTGACCAGCTGATTTCTCTGTGGGATGAATAACGACCAGTCTGCTGGGAACCACAAGGGGAGGGAAGACAAGTAGAGGTGGGAAAGAAGGGAAAGTTTGGACCCTGCCTTCTGACACGCCTTCTTCGCCCCCCCCCCCCCCCCCCCCCCCAGATCTACCCCCCCATCAACGTCCTCCCTTCCCTCTCGCGGCTGATGAAGTCCGCCATTGGGGAGGGCATGACGAGAAAGGACCATGGAGATGTCTCCAACCAGCTGGTAAGGAGAGAGCCCAAGGGCCGGTGGGGAAGTTTCAGAAGCTGGAGATTGGAGCCCTAGCTGGACCACGAACTTTTCTCCTGGAAGAAAAAAATTCCTCCCCTTTTGGGGGTCCCCGCACAGTCACATGGGGGAACACGCACGGGGCTCCTGCGGTAAGCCTGCCGTGACCGCTGACCCCCTCCCCGCTTCACCAGTATGCCTGCTACGCCGTCGGGAAGGACGTGCAGGCCATGAAGGCAGTGGTGGGGGAGGAGGCGCTCCTTTCCGAGGACCTGCTCTACCTGGAATTCCTGCAGAAATTTGAGAAGAACTTCATCAACCAGGGTGAGGCGCGTTGGGGGCGTTCAGGCAGCAACCCCCTTGGTCCGACACCCACACGCGCACACACCCTTAACACTCCTGCTCTGTCCCTAGGTCCCTACGAGAAACGCTCGGTGTTCGAGTCTTTGGACCTGGGGTGGAAGCTGTTGCGCATCTTCCCCAAGGAGATGCTGAAGCGCATCCCGCAGAACATTATTGATGAATTCTACTCCCGCGAGGGGGCGCCGCCGGACCCCGAGCCCGACACGGCGCTTTAGCCGCGCGGGAAGCCTGGCCCCGGAGCCAGGTCCTGGCACCGCTCTCGCCGCCCGATCTACACACCCCGCCCTATCGTCTTGGTCCGCACACCTTAACCCATCGTTCCATGCCCACCCTCAGTCCCCTACAGGTTATGGGGGGCTCCTACGCTCCAGTCCTCTCCCTGGATTCCCCGACATGGGAAACAGAAGGTGGTTAAGCCTATATTCTCTGTCTTGTTCTGATAGGAGCATTTGTATTTTAAAAGTACCACTGCCCTCTTCCAAGAGTTTATCTCATGTAAATACAAGATTGGCAAAACACTGATAATTGTTGGAGCTGCGGGGGTACATGAAGTTCACTAAACTATTCTCTCCACCTTAAAAAAAAAAAAGGCTACATTAGTGTCTTAACAGGTGACAACAGAATTCTTCTTAGGGAGATATTTATCTTTGTTAAAAAATATCTTGATAAATTTCTTGGGTGCAATGTGAGCTCATGGGCCATAGAAAGGACAATCTCAAGGCCACAAAAGATGTGTCTGATTCTAAACAGCTCTGCCTAAGAGATGCTAGGAAGGAATTTGGTTTGCTCCAGATAGGGAGGGGAGTTGCTGGGAAGATGGCCTGAGGAACAGTGGGGGCAGTGTGCAAAGGCTGAGGAAAGGCCCCCCAGTTAAGAAATGGGCGAAGAGCTTCCTAAAAACCAAGATACCTGATGTTCCTTTGAAAGCTGCCTGCTCTTCTGTAATGCCATCCCTTCCTGTCTCCTCTGCCCCACCTACGATGAAGTCATGGATGCTTCCTAAGAGGTAGGGCAGGTTGGGAAGATAGAACTTCAGCAAAAGGCTGAGTTCCGTTTCTGGGTCAATGTGTTATGGAACCAGGCCAGAATTCTTGGATCAAGAGCTGACACAAAAGGAGGACTTGAGAATAAAATTCCCATCCCCAAGACAATTTACAGCCATTTTAGGGAAAGCTTTTGGGTGTCCACAGGACATAGGGTTGTTTTGACTTAATAACAGCTTTATTGAGATGTGATTCATGTACCATACAGTTCACCTATTTATAATTGTACAATTCAACAACTTTTAGTATATTCACAGAGTTGTGCAATCTTCACCACAATTTTAGAACATTTTCATTACCTTAAAAAGAAACCCTGTACCCCAAGTTATCACTTCTCAAACCACACTTCTGCCCCCTCCCCAGCCCGAGACAATCGTTAATCTTTCTATCTCTGTAGCTTTGCCTACGCTGGTCAACTCATATAAATGGAATCATACAACATGTGGTCTTTTGTGTCTGGCTTCTTTCACTTAGTGTAATATTTTAAAGGTTCATCCATGTTGTAGCCTGTGTCAGTACTTCTTTCCTTTTTATTGCTAAATAATATTACACAGTATGGATACACCTTTTATCTCTTCATCAGTATATGGACATGTGGTTGAAGCAACTTTTCACTGTCATAAATAATGCTGCTATGAACAATCATGTACAAGTTTTTGTGTGGATGTATGTTTTTATTTCTATTGCGTACATACCTAGGAGTGAAATAACTGGGTGTCAGATGGTGACTCCCTGTTTAACCATTTGTGGAACTGCCAGACTGCAAAGCTACTTCCCAAAGTGGCTGCACCATGTTACCTTCCCCAACAATGCAAGAGGGTTCCAATTTCTCTACATCCTCAAGCACACTTATCTTTTTCCCCCTTTTTTAAATTGAAGTATGATTAACTTCCAATATTAGTTTCAAGCGTACAACCCAGTGACTCGATATTTTTATACATTACAAAATGATCATCACAAAAGTCTGATTACTGTCTGTCACCATGCAAAGTTGTTACAATATTATTGACTAATTTCCTATGCTGTACATTACATTCCCGTGACTTATTTATTTTATCTGGAAGTTTGTACCTTTTAATCTCCCTCACCTATTTCACTCATCTTCCCCTACTCCCCTCCAGCAACCACCAGTTTGTTTTCTGTATCTATGAGTCTGTTTCTGTTTTCTTGTGGGGGTTGTTTTAGATTTCATATGTAAGTGAAATCATACAGTGTTTGTCTTTCTCTGTCTGACATTTCACTTAGCATAATACCTTCTAGATCCATCCATGTTGTTGCAAATGGCAAGGTTTCTTTCTTTTTATAGCTGAGTAATATTCCATTGTGTGTATATATGTATATACCACATCATCTTGATCCATTCATCCATCAATGGACACTTAGTTTGCTTCCATGTCTTGGCAACTGTAAATAATGCTGCAGTGGACATAAGGGTGCATGTATCTTTTTGAATTAGGGTTATTGTTTTCTTCAGAGAAATACCCAGATGCAGAATTGTTGGATCGTATGGTAGTTCTATTTTTTTTTTTTAAAGAAGATGTTGGGGGTAGGAGTTTATTAATTAATTTATTTATTTTTGCTGTGTTGGTTCTTCGTTTCTGTGCGAGGGCTTTCTCTAGTTGTGGCAAGCGGGGGCCACTCTTCATCGCGGTGCGCGGGCCTCTCACTATCGCGGCCTCTCTTGTTGCGGAGCACAGGCTCCAGACGCACAGGCTCAGTAGTTGTGGCTCACGGGCCTAGTTGCTCCGTGGCATGTGGGATCCTCCCAGACCAGAGCTCGAACCCGTGTCCCCTGCATTAGCAGGCAGATTCTCAACCACTGTGCCACCAGGGAAGCCCTGGTAGTTCTATTTTTAATGTCCTGAGGAATCTCTGTACTGTTTTCCATAATGACTGCACCAATTTACATTGCCACCGACAGCACACGAGGGTTCCTTTTTCTCCATCTCCTTGCCAATACTTGTTATTTGTTGTCTTTTTGAAATTAGCCATTCTGACAGGTGTGAGGTGATATCTCATTGTGGTTTTGATTTCCATTTTCCTGATAATTAGTGATGTGTCTCTTGGCCATCTGTACTCTTTGGAAAAATATCTGTTCAGGTCCTCTACCATTTTTTAATCAGGGGAAAATGTCTATTCAGCTATTCAGCCCATTTTTCAATTGGGTTGTTTGTTTTTTTGATGTTGAGTTGAATGAGTTCTTTGTGTATTTTATTTTTGGTTTTGGTTTTCGGGGGTTTTTTTTGGCTGCACTGGGTCTTCACTGCGCCGCGCAGGCCCTCTAGTTGTGGCATGTGGGATCTTAGTTCTCCAACCAGGGATCGAACCCGCGTCTCCTGCATTGGAAGGCGGATTCTTAACCACTGGACCACCAGGGAAGTCCCTCTTTGTGTATTTTGGATATTAACTCCTTATCAGATTTATCATTTGCAAATATCTTCTTCCATTCAAGGCAGTCTTTTCATTTTGTTAATAGTTTCCTTCATTGTGTTAATCTTTTTAGTTTGATGTAGACCCAATTTGTTTATTTTTGCTTTTGTGTCCCTTGCCTGAGTAGAATATTGCTAAAGCCGACAGCAGAGAGCATACTGCCTGTTTTCTCTAGGAGTTTCATGGTTTCAGGTCTTACATTTAAGGCCTTAACCCATTTTGAGTTTATTTTTTTATATGGTGTGAGTCCAGTTTGATTCTCTTGCATGTAGCTGTACAGTTATTGTGTCTTTTTTTTTTTTGCGGTACACGGGCCTCTCACTGTTGTGGCCTCTCCCATCGCGGAGCACAGGCTCCGGACGCGCAGGCTCAGCGGCCATGGCTCACGGGCCTAGCCGCTCCGCGGCATGTGGGAGCTTCCTGGACCGGGGCACGAACCCGTGTCCCCTGCATCGGCAGGCGGACTCTCAACCACTGCGCCACCAGGGAAGCCCTATTGTGTCTTTTTGATTAATAGCTATCTAGGGGGTGTGAAATGATATCTCATTTTTGGTTTTGATTTGCATTTCCCTGATGACAAATGATATTGAGCATATTATCTTTTCATGTGCTTATTGGCCATTTGTATATTTTCTTTGGAGAAATGTCTGTTCAGATCCCTTGCCCATTTTAAAATTAGATTGTCTTTTTTATTGTTGAATGTAAGAGTTTTTTATATTTTCTAGACACAAGTCCTTAATCAGTAATTTGTAAATATTTTCTCTCATTCTGTAGGTTGTCCTTTCACTTTTTTGATGGTATCTTTTGAAGCACAAAGGATTTTAATTTCAATAATGTCCAGTTTGTTTGTTTCTTTCGATGTCATATCTAAGAACACATTGCCTAATCCAAGGTCACAAAGCTTTACACTTACGATTTTTTTTCTAAGAGTTCTATGATTTTAGCTCTTACATTTAGATCTTCCTTCGTTTTGAGTTAATTTTTGTTATGATACGAAGTGAGGTCCAGCTTCACTCTTTTGCGTGTGGATATTCAGTTGTCCCAGCACCATTTGTTGAAAAGACTATTCTTGCCCCCACTGAATTATCTTGGCACTTTCATAAAATCTCAATTGACCAGGGGCTTCCCTGGTGGCAGGGGACATGGGTTTGATCCCTGGTCCGGGAAGATGCCACATGCCCCAGAGCAACTAAGCCCGTGCGCCACAACTACTGAGCCTGCGCTCTAGAGCACGCAAGCCACAACTACTAAGCCCGCGTGCCACAACTACTGAAGCCCACGCGCCTAGAGCCCATGCTCTGCAACAAGAGAAGCCACCTCAATGAGAAGCCCGCACATGGCAACGAAGAGTAGCCCCCTTTCGCAGAGAAAAGCCCGCGCGCAGCAACAAAGACCAAAACTTGATTGACCATTAATGTGAGGGTTTTTTTCCCCTGGATTCCAGATCTATCCCATGGATCTGTATGTCTATCCTTTTGCCCATACCAGGTTCCTTAAGATTTTCAATATACAAGATCATATCATCTGTAGAGATAGTTTTACTTCTCACTTCTTTCTTTTGAATGTGGATGCCTTTTATTTCATTTCCTTGCCCTATTTCCCTGGCTATAACCTTCAATACAATGTTGAATAGAAGTGGCAAGAGTGGACATTATTGTCTTGTTCCTGATCTTAAAGAGAAATCAATCTTTCACTATTATGATGTTAGCTGTGGATTTTACACAGATACTCTTTATCAAGTT